ATACAAAAACCGACATTGTAGAAAACCGGTTTTAACGGGTTTCGAATTTTTATAAAAAAATTTTTTGCTCGAATATTCTGTAATTCGAACAAAAAATTTTAACAGAAAATTTAGAGTGATTAAAAGCAGTTTTTGACTGAAATTATTTACTGAACACTGAATTTATGAACTGTACATAAAGAAACCAGAAGACAAACTGATATAAAATCTAAATTAATTCATCCAATAGACAAAACACACCAAACCGCTTGCGACCTATATGATTCCAAGAACCAAACCGCTTGCAACAGTGTTTTCATCAATATGGTACATTTGGCTACATTTGTCATTTTCAATTTTTTTTTAAGTGTTATTCATACATTGAAAACCGATATTTTCTACTANATTCCGACTGAAGGGCTCCAGTTCTTCACTGTAGGTACATACATATATTGTAAAAATGTATTTACGTAATACCTGAACTGCTTTCTACTCACAAATGATGTTAAAAAAATTAACAAAAACGTTCCATATATTAACATATTTCCTAAATACAAATTCTATTTATTAGTTTCTTCTAGGAAGAGGGTCTTAAATAATCAGCAACACATGGTAAATTAATATTTTTTTATTGTGACATTGCAGTAAGGGCTGTACTAGGTACGATCTATCATTATCAATAGAATACAAATTTTTCTTTATATAAACCGATATCTTCGTTCGAACATTTTCACTTGATTTTTGTAAAGACACACAAGATATTTTAAATAAATTAATAACCAACCTCTGATTTAACATTTATACCCACCAAAAAGGAAAAAAATTAAAAAATGAAAATAAAAGCTGTACTGCAAGCCCAGAGAAATTATCCTTGTGTAATGTGTTATTTTTTCCGACACCAAGATAGGAATTGCAGTCACACTTCAATGCAGTTGAAGAAAAGAAGACAATGTTTCATGTACACACATGCCGATTATTGTTATTATTTATCGACTCATTTTCAATAATAAATACAATTTTGTAAGTTTGTAATAAATATGACAGGAAACAAACACCAAAAAATATATTGCGTTTGGTGTAATTAGTATTTACTTATAATAATTATTGCACGAAATGAGTGAGCTACATAAAACGATAATACATAATATAACAAAAATTACACTCATTTGTCTTCAAGTTTTAAAACTAATGAAAAAGGCAAATATATCTTATCCCTTTGCAATTTTATGCATATTGCTGTTACATAGTTGATAAGGTTTTAGATAACAAATTAGGAGTACAAAACCACTTCGGGATTAATTTCTTTTCAAGTTTAGTTTTAGTGGATTTTCCTGATTGACCTATATGTATAACAGTACGCCGTTATTTGTTGAAGTGATTCGAAAAAAGCTGAAAATACGTAAAGAACCCAATTTTAGAATGCAATTTTGATATTACACAGAAACTCCCTAATAATAATTATAAGTATCCTAACTAATATTATAAATGTGAGTTCATTTGCCGGCTTTTCACGCCTTAACTGTTCAAGCAATCAACATGAAATTTTGTACAGGCACATTCTCAGGGATATAATAGAAAAATACATAGGGTACAAAAATATTGTTCTAGAGGGATAGAAAAAATTAGTTTTATGTGGTTGATTTCACGAGATAAAAATACAGAAAAAGACAGAGTACCTTTTACCTAGAAAAAAATACTGTTCCCGGGGAATAGAAAAATTAGTATTATGTGGTCGTCGTTGACCTTTAACACATATTTACATCAACGCGAAGCGAACCTAGTATACAATAAACTGAATATTTAGGGTTCCATACTTAAAAATGAAAAAGGGAACCCTTGTAGGAAAACTCACTTGTTTGTCTGCCTGTTTATCAATATCGTTTTTCTTAGGAAGACGTGGAGTTACCAAGTTAAAATTAATTTCAAATAGCCTATATGTTTGCAATCCTTTAGAACTCTGAATCAAACCAAACGCAAAGTAATCAAAACCTATAGCGTATACAATCATGAAATTAATGATCGACGTTTCAAACGCTATTATTTCAATCGACACTGAAATTTTGTTTGTTTCCTGAGATTCTATAGCTTCCAGAATAATTTGTTTAGTATATTTCCCATGTATAGTATTATTAAACTAAATACGGGGTATTTTTTGTTTTGAATTCGCGAATTCAGAATATATGTTTATTTCACAAGATTTAACACTTTTTTCTGCAAGTTATTGATATTCTGCAATTTCCAATTTTATTGATTAAGTGGTAGAAAATTGTAGAGCGACGTTTCGAATTTAATTTTTTCAAGTAAAGCTTTTTTCATAAAAACGCTTTTTCGCTTTTATTTTAATCGGCACTGCCATTTTGTTTGTTTCCTGAGATTCTTTCGACTTTTCGTCATATTGCTAGCGTTGTGTAGATTCCAGAATAATATCATGTTCAGCTGTCGAATTTTGATCGGTGCAATTTCATGTATCTACATAAAGACAGAATTTTTTCATTTTTGAAGTTTCCAGTTTAGGGATGAAAATTTACAGAGCGATTTATTAAATTTAGAACTTTGGTGCAACAAAACAATTTAATCAATGCTTAGTTTCAGTTTGTTCCACTGTCTTTACCTTTCAAAATTTCTGAAGTTCAGTAATTTACGGAATTACTTCTTTAGTAATCGAAAACTGACAAGCGGTATTTTAGATATAATTTATTATAATTTTGTTAGTTAAAGTGATGTATCATTTTTTTCATTGATATTCAAGATTTAAGATCCAAAATCTATATGTACTTCAAAGTTCTACATTTCCATCTACAATTAATAAAAAGAATTAGAAAAACTAATATTAATAGTTCAATGTCATCAATATAACAAATTAATACAGTAAATTATTTTGAGAGATTAACTACTTTCTGTTAAAACTTTCCGATTAGCCTTTGTGTTTCAGTTAAAAATTATAGTATAGCCCTCGTATTTCACGTACCGTACGCGGTATCTCGCGGCCAATAGTCGAATATTCATAAAAGAAGTTTACAGGTTTCAATACCATTACAATTCTCTACCAAATTACTATTAAATTTTTAAACGACAATAACAACAGCAAATTTTACAGAGTAAACCTCTTAAGCCGTTTTAAGACAAAAAGATACAATTCCTGGGTATTTTTGTGTTAACTTATTTACTAACTACTTTACGTATGTGAGAAAACTGTAGCTAACAAATTTCTCAGAATAACACAATATAAATTAACTTGCAAAATGAAATTTCAATGTCTAATTAAAAATTATAAATTCATCAATCAATCAATAACTTTTACTTTTT